AAATATGGAAAGACTTGTCCTTGAATGATTCCCTCACGCCACTCGAGCGCTCAAAACTAGCTGTTTGGGATTACCCAGTTAGTGATAAATATACAAAAATGTGGCAGGCCATGCAGGAAGCCCAGTTACCGGCAACTCTTGAAGAGGCGGTAGAACGAGTTCGCAACTCAACTTCAGCCACCGGTTTCGCCTTTCTGGGTGATGCCACAGATATTCGCTACCTTGTGATGACCAATTGTGATTTGCAGATTGTAGGTGAAGAATTCTCCAGAAAACCATACGCCATTGCCGTTCAACAAGGATCACATCTCAAGGACCAATTTAACAATGCGTGAGTTATTATTTCGAGCAAAAACACATGTATGTAAAAGCATAATATTTTCATTCCTTTTATCAATTCAGAATTTTAACCTTACTTAACAAACGTCAACTGGAAAAATTTAAGGAAAAGTGGTGGAAAAACGATGAAACACAAGCCAAATGTGACAAGCCAGAAGACCAATCAGACGGCATTTCCATACATAATATTGGTGGAGTCTTTATTGTTATATTTGTTGGAATTGGCATGGCCTGCATCACATTGGTATTTGAGTATTGGTGGTATAAATATCGAAAGAATCCCCGCATTGTGGATGTTATTGAAGCGAACTCTGGCGGAAAAGATGGGAAGACAATCGATAGTGTTATTCTTGGACAGACTGGAAAAGAGTACGACAAGGGTGGTAATACCGTGCTTCGGCCACGATTTCATCAGTATCCCACCACATTTAAACCACGGTTTTAAAATATATACAAACATACACATACATACATACATAAATACGTACATATGCTTGTATGCAATCAATCTGCTTAACGAAGTCGGATTTTAAAGTACCGATATTTATACATTTTTAATTACAACGCTGTTTTATAATTAACACATACATATACATATGCACGTAGATATGCCTGTATGTAAGTATGTACGTATTAAAGCATATGCTTTGCTTTTGGAATAAAATATGCACGCACAATTTTTTTTAAATCTTGATGGCAAAAATATATATGTATATGCGTACACTCTAATGAAAAATACAAATAAAAGTGTTAGTGTCTTAATTCATCAAAGCAAAGTTTGTAGCCTAATTTGCATTCTTAATTATGCCCTACTTACCCTTAACTCTTCAGTAAGTAAACATTTTTTGGGCAGTGATAACTACCAACAATTTACTAGAAAATTAAGCGTCGATGTGCATATGTATATCGTGACAACAATAAAAATAATATCTGACGACATTATCTTAAAAATCTAATCTTTAAGAATATACATATATATATAATTCCGGCTACTCTATCGAATTTTGATACAAGCTGCAATGCGGTATAAATAAACGCATGTGGCCATAAATAATTATTATACAAGTACAAAAAGGCAAAATAAACATCAAAAACTCCTTAATACATACGTGTGTACATAAGTAAATATTTATTACTTTCTTCAGAAATTTATTTTAAAAAAATACAGATAAAATATGCATATTCACAAATATGCCGTAAATTTTAAACATACTCTTAGCTAGAGAATTTAATTTTAAGAAGCTACTTTTCTGCTAAATTTTCTTTAAACTGTTCTGCAATATATTGCCAATATTTACGCCGTACAATATCATATTTTTTTGACATGTCATTACAAAGGTTGAACACCTTTCGCGACAATGCATCAGATTCAGTGACATTTGATTGTTGTAGACATTGATCTCTATAAAGATCGATTAAAAAAGCCAATAGGTAAGGCGATCGTACACCACTTGTATACAATTCTTCACAAAACGACAAAACTTCTTGGTGACAGTTTCTTGTACCGTTATCTTCATATTTCAATATGCCTCCTAGATAATTCCAAGCGCTCTCGTTATTTTTCACCACACGAATACGGTTCATTGTATACTGAATTTCGCGTTGCACTACATCTGGAGTGAATCCAAAATGCTTAAGCACGAAAAAGCGCTGATTCCAAGCCGAGTTATTTCTAATATCTTCCGCAATCAGACGATCCACAAAAGACAGCTCATTTTCAAAAAGGCTATGGAAAACATTTCAAGAAAATGCCTACTTGTAAAATGTATATATATTTCTTATATATGTTTTACTCACTCAAATGTTTTTATGGCCCATTGCCTATGTTGCCATGCGTGGTAATTTTTGTTATCACGCTCCAGAGCTACTTCTGTCAACTCCAGCTCCTTCGAAGAATCATTTAACATTTCCACAATAACACGACGATGATGCCAAACTTGGTAATTTTTGGCATTGTCTCGTATAACTTCATCCAAATAGTCTAACTCTTCGTACAGGTCAGATTCCAAGGCTCTTAGTATATCTCGCCGATATTGCCAGACAGTATAATTTGCAGGATTAAGCCGTAATGCGTCTGCTGTTAATTCCAAAGCTCTCTGTGATTTCTCTCTATGTGCCAGCACAGCGCGGAAATAATCAAACACTTCGCGGACTACATTTATAAACAGTACACTATCATTTTAGTAACCAAGTGACGTAAACATATTAAAACTACTTAATTCAGTTCTAAATACTACACTTACATTTGGGACTGTAAGCTATAGCAACAATAGGATGTACTCCATCGTCTTGAGGAATCGGTACAATGTCGGCCCATTCGTTCCGTTCACTGTAAGGAATCCATTCTTCAGACCAGTCGTCGCTATCACTATCGCTCATTTTACCACCTTTTAAATACTTCACAAAATATAATCTATAACAATTTGCCCACAACTACTACTATATATAACAAAACATACAATTTACCCAAGAATTCTTTGAATTGTACCAACAGCTGACTCATAGCTTTGTTCCATTTTTCACTTGACAGCCTGACTGACAGGGTTGCCGTTATAAATATTAGCTATGACGATATATCTAAAGAACATGTCACAATCTTACAAATTTAGAGCCGTTTCCTAGAAGTTTTAATTGACCATTTCCAATGGAAAAAAGATTTATACCTTCATGGCAAGTGGGTTTTCAATCCACCATTTTTTTTTTTGGAGTACGTACAGAAAACGTAAAATATATAAGTTTTCTGGACCTTCCCTGTAACAGAGAACGTACATTATCTATCATGATAGACGTTCTCTGTTATCTGCTTGCTCTTAGTGCTACCAATCATAAAGTCTGTATTACCAAATTAATAATATAAAACCAAGAGAAACAGAACGGATCTAATATTTATCAGGATCTTTTCATTGTTGTTCATCCATCCGTAACTACTAAAATGCAACTAATATTGCAATTTTCTTATGTAGTTTGATATTATTTTAGAAAAAAAGTTAACTTTGGTGGTACTGAAGCTATAATACGAGGGTTGTCTTTATATACCGAGATTAGAGAACAAGAAAATATATATTAATCATCAAAAATCGCTACGTATCATTCACAAGTCAAAAAGAAATCTTGGCAGCTGTATGTCATAGTTATCCGATCTGTACAATTTGTTCAGAGATTTCACCATTGCCTTGGTAAAAAGGTTTATGATATAAGCACTTATATCCGTTCGGTCAGTTTGTATGACAGCTATATGATACATACATCCGATTTATACAATTTCTTTCGAAAATCAACCATTGCCTTAGACCATAAATTCGTGGAGATGTCTTGTTGAAAAGAAAGTTTTCCATACAAGTACTTGATTCCGATCGTTCAGATTTTATGGTAGCTATATGCTATAATGATCCGATCTGAATAATAATTAAAATAAAATCATTACATGTAGTATATTATAATTGGGGTAATTCGTGGGCAAATTTCAAATATTTTAGACATTTAACTATAGTATATCTAATATTAGATTATATGTTTACTTAATTTTGTTGAGACCCATATATGCGGTATAAAGCCAACCAGAAGATAAATGAGAAATATATATATTTGTAACAAATAAGGAACAAATAAGGAACTTTGTGATTTAATTAAGGTATCTCGCATACCATCTCTAATATACATACATATATGGAGGATCAATCAATATAATATTAGTGATATGGGGTCTAGGCCAACCGTTATTTGGAGAACACGCTCACTCAATTTTATTAGGATAACACATATTTTAACCGGAAGTTCGAAAATAACGTTATTTGGTATTTGGGGGTTAAAGGAAATATTGACCCGATTCAACCCAATTTTGACATATAGACATACTATTATTAGGAAAGAATTCTGCCCGAACTTCAATTATATATCTTACACATTGACCGCTATTGTCAGCGAAAAGTTGGTGATAAAAACCTTCCTGGCACTAAAAAACACTGTTATGCGGTTAGCTTTTCCGCCAGAGCAAATTATAGATAAAATGTTATCAAATAAACTTTACTTCGTAAAGTGTTGCGTGTATACATAGGTTTTCACATTACATTCAATTAACATTTAGTATATATAGTACGAATCTTTGCGTAAACCCAAATGAACATTGCGTATGAATATTTATTCTAGTTATAAAATTTTATTGTGTTTCTGCTTGTAAGGAAAGTATTACATAATGGAATTGAGAACTACTGATAGCGAGAACGAACAATATGCACGATACATACATATGTACATGCGAATGACTTCTCGGAAATATAAGACAGACACCTTTTTCAATCAGCGAGCGGAACGAAGGGCCAAGCAGTCTAGCGGGATCTTTCCTGCGCATTAAGCGAATTAAGCGGTATTATATTTTATTACATAGTTGAGGGAGCAAATATTATGACTGGCTTTTCCTACTGGGTATATATGAATGCATAAATCCTAAGTGTCGTATTTTTTAGTTAAACTTAATTGTATTGTTGAATTATTCAAATAAACACATATGAAAGTATTGTTATATAAATGTGAGCATCCACAAATATATATGTATGATATGCATTGTTGTTAAACAATTTGATAAGATATCAGTCAATTCAATCTCCACGCTATCTCTCTTCTAAAACTTGCGTCTTATTTAAACTTTTCCACACCACTGGATAATTAGATGTTTCTATGATGTCGAAGTACGCGCACTTAATCAGTTTTGGAATGCGGACTCACTTGCCATCGGAGATTCTTCGTTCGCTCTCAAGGATAAATGCGGTGTATAAAGGAAGCCATGGTTTCATTAGTAAACGATTGATGAGTGTTCAATCGCATCGCAAATGTAATGTGGTAGTTATAGGAGGAGGAGCTGTGGGATCCTCTACAGCGTTTTGGTTGAAAAAGCGTGCCAATAGAGACCTCAGCGTCATTGTTCTTGAACGAGATCCAACTGTGAGTACTTTAAATTGTATTCTTACAATTCTTTACGTAAATATAGAGATATTCCCCTTTATAATTTAGTACAAAGAAGCGTCCACCGTGTTGTCTGTCGGTGGCGTTCGGCAACAATTCTCCTTACCTGAAAATATTCAAATGTCTTTATTTGGCGCCGAATTCATACAAAATTCAACAAAATATTTTGGCGATGTGGACTTGTGTTTTCGTCCTCATGGTTATCTAGTTCTGTGCTCTGAAAAATGTGCCCAAACTTTGAAAGAAAACTCCAAGTTGCAAAATGAACTGGGCGCTCGAAATGAACTATTATCACCATCTCAACTAATACGGAAATTTCCATGGCTTAATACTGATGACGTAGCATTGGGTATTAGAAATATATACCAAAACTACTTGACGTATTTTTTACTTTTCTGTATTTTTAGGGTGTTATGGGTTCGAAAACGAGGGATGGTTTGATCCATGGGCACTTTTGGGAGGCTTTCGTAGTCGAGCTAAAGAGTTTGGGGCTGAGTTTCTGCATGGTGAAGTTCTCAGTTTTGATATCTCTAATAATTCAGAAACACTGAATTCAGTGAAGGTTAAAGCCAAAACCAATGAGACTTGCGTTGTCGACTTCGATGTTTGTGTTTTGGCTGCTGGTGCCCGTTCAGGTCAAATAGCCCGTCAGGCTAATATTGGCACAGGGACAGGTGCATTGTCGATACCATTGCCCGTTGAACCACGAAAACGGTTTGTTTATGTTTTTACTACACAGGGAGACAATGCACCCGGTCCAGGTACACCTTTAACTATCGATCTTGATGGCACATATTTCAGACGAGATGGCATGGGGAGTAATTTTATTACCGGCCGAAGCCCATGCAATGAACAAGCCGAACCACCAGTTACCAACTTGGACGTAGATCATGAATTCTTCGAGACATATATATGGCCAACTTTGGCGAAGCGTTGCACTGCATTCGAATCGATTAAAGTTTGCGGTAGTTGGGCCGGATATTATGAGTATAATACGTTTGATGAAAACGGTATAATCGGGCCACACACTTACTACAAGAACCTTTTAATGGCAACGGGTTTTAGCGGCCATGGTATTCAACAATCTCCGGCAGTGGGACGAGCTATTTCGGAGTTAATATTAGATGGTAATTTTAAAAGTATTGATTTAAGCCGTCTTGGATTCGATAGGATTGCGACCAATAGAAAAATGTCTGAATCAAACATATACTAATCTTATAAATGAAACTGTGTAGTATTCCGGTATATAATCGAATATCTGATACACCAGCGAGCATCCATACACAGTAATATGTAAATTCCATGTGATATGAATTTTCACACGGAAACCACTCACAAATCTATTCTTTAGAGCTGCCTAATGCTGAACGTAAAACCGTAAAAATACATATACACGATACAAATTTTTTTGTTTTATATATTTGCAAAGAAATTAAATGGAATTAAGATTGGAAAACAAATTGTGTGCACATTCATACATACGTAGAGTTCTAAATTATGCTGTTTTGTTTGCTTTTGTTTTTCTATTTTTTTAATTATGTATTTCTAATACAATTTTTCTTTATAAAATATGTAATATGTGTAAAATTAATTCTTAAATCGTTTTAATACTCTTGTGCTTGGAAATTGCCGTGTGCTCATTAAGGAAAATGAAATATATTATTAGATAAACAATTTTTTGACAATTTGCTTCGCATAAGCCTTCAATCAGGCCTTAGTTATATTTATAATTATATGTATGTTTCCAATCGGTTGTTACACCTAATTTACATATGTATGTGTAAGTTTGAGACATACATATGCATATACACATATAATATATATATTTCTAGCTATAGCAGGCGTATTCATTATTAGGAAGATGAATTAAAGAACTACAAGCATACTCACATACATATATACATAAGTATATGTGAATGTGTCCTTAATATCATGGAAGTCCTAACCGCAAACAATTCATTATTTGCTCTTACTTCATACATACACATGCATAAACATACATATGTACATACATACAATTAATCAGTGTTTTTTTTTTTGTTTTTGTAAAAGCATTTTAGCAAAATCTTTTAAAATAATTTTTATCGATCCGTTTATTATTTGTATACACTATTTATGTATATGTAGTATATCTTTTAAATATTAATATTGTATGGTTTTTGCGAGTGCACTAGCCCCTAACTACCAAATCCGTATAAACATATGTATTTACATAAACAATCAAATACATATGTACAGTATTCATGCCAGTTTCCGTTTCCGTTTCCTTCTCTTTTATCTGTTATCCAATAAGCTGAAAATACAAATTACATCAACATACCATTGTCTCCCTGTGCACTCATTCCTTATAAATTTCAGTTGCATGGTTGTAAGTATATAATATGTTCGTGGAGTTTTTCTGTATTTTAGCATTTGGAATAGTTTTTTGTTAGTTTCATTTCTTATCTTATTACCCGACCTTTCCCTAATCGGGGTTCTCCTCAACACTTAAAACTTATTTCATTCGTGTTCGTTTAATTTTTTATTTATCCTCTTCGATACCCTCGTCCATTGCAGCTTTTACGTGGGCGGTACACATTTCCTCCTTACCAATATCACATTTTTCAGCTAACATATCCTCTATGCCTTCATCGACTGGTTGATTTTCTTTGTTAGCCTCTGTGTCATAATCTGCCGTTGTTGATGAACCCTTAGCATTGCCAACACCATTAGTCGCAGCTTGCGGATTTGGCACTGGCTCTTCCTTAAAGATATCATCTGTTAGGTCAGGAGTCATTTTGACTCGACATGTTTCATACGCTTTAGTAAATCCTAACTTTGTATAAAGATTTCTAGAAGCATCATTTTGTGGACGTATGACGACAAACGGCGAATAACCACGTTCAATAACAAGTTTAGTAAGAGATCTAGCAAGTCGAATTCCATAGCTAATTTTGAAGAGAATAACACATTCATAAATATCTTATTGAATATTATTTGAGTAATGTTCCTACCCTTTGCGACGGTACTCTGGACGTGTTTGCATTGAGAACATTGCTCCATAATAAGAATGCACCATCCATGCGGCTAATTCATTGGTATCCTTACGAAATATTCCCAACCCGGGCAGTACTTGCACTAATATCTCGAATACTTCTATGCGTTCAATCTCGCTGGCCGGATACAAATCGTGTATAGCTTTTACATCCTCAGCAGTAAGTGGACGCATTTCTGCATCATCAGGCAATTCCTCCAACTCTAGATCCGTATTCAATTTATTACACACATAAATGTCGCCTTCGAGTCTCTCCATTACACCAATTGTCGAATAAAAGTCATCCAGACGATTCATGATAGCAATATGCGTGAAATTCAGGTACAATGGCTTTTTCCAATCGATAAGGATATCTTCGGTCCGCATCAGATCGACACATTCGATTTGTGTTGAGGGACAAAATATACCAAAGCTTTGATAGATATTGTTGTTGGGCTAATTAAATACAGGAAAAGAAACATTTTTAAATATTTACCCATGTGCAATAATTGGCGAGAATCAATAATAAATATGGTATGCATAGGCATGCATGTAGGTACCTTAGAAGGACGAGCCCTAAAAAAATGAAATAACAATTTATATGCAAAATCATATATACCGTAAGCGTGCATCCTGGAAAATGTAATATTATTGGCTTCTGCGGCCATTCTTTCGAAACATAAAAGTAAAAGTCCCAAACACGATCATTCAGGTACGTTTTAATGGTTTGATGAAACTGAAATAGACCAATTGATTCGTTACTAGTTCAGATACGATACTCAAGATTTATCTAAGCCAAATATTTGTGTAAATTATTAGCTTACCTTTAGTGATTCCGGTATGTATCTTTCCAAATACTCCAAAATTTCTGGAAGCTCAGATTCTTGTACCAAACGAAAATGTTTACCTTCAGGAATGATTTCCATTTCTGAAACAAAGTAATAAGGAATCATGTATTTACAAGAATTTTTGAAAGTAACCTATACAGTTAAGTGTTTTGATTACAACGTTTGTAAAATACATACATACATATATTAATTCTTGCATATTAATTTTTATGAAGGAAAATATAAAATTTACGATGTGAACCAACTAGTGTGGCTCTCAAAATCGATAATGGTCAACTTTTTAATATACATATAAACATTTGCGCGTGTAGTAATGTGCCTATTGTATGCTGGTGCAGTACTCCTCAGCGAAATTAGTAAAAAAAATATAAATAGTTTACAATTAAATTGTATCATGAAATTTAATTGCACAAATTCAACAACTATTAAAAATGGAACACTTTTGCATAAATATGTATATGGAAATAAATATACATTTCCTGTTAATTAATGTTAATTGGCCGATATTACTTTTCTGACTAGTGTTTAGTTCCAACTAATTAAGCCAACATCGGCAAATAAATTATTTTCAGCAAGATTATTATTACAAACAAAACATTACTTTCAAAACATCAACGGTATATGTATGTACAAAATAAATAAATCCCATCTAAGGGAAAGGATTCTGCACTGTCGCACATAAACACATTTGTGCGTTAGTTCTTTCTAAGGATATATTACATACCAGTGCACCGCTATATTTTTGCACGAGAGATTTTTACACATACATAAGTACATTTATGTGTATGTGCATTAGGACAAAATCAGTTGTGTTGAATTAAAATGAATAGCATGTTCCAATTCTACGTGAACGCTAAGCAAACAAGTTGATTAAAACAGAACTCAAACACGTCAAATCTTTTATCTTATGCGACGTTTTAGGAAGATTGTTTTTTTTTTTTTTTGAAAACGAAAAAAGCAAAAAAACAGTTGACAGTTGACAGTCGTGATAACTACATAAGTAAATATCCTTGTCACTATAAAGGGTGAAATCTGAAATTTATCCAAAATTGTAGAAAAATACTTTTCTGACTTTGTCGTTCAATATTTTATGTTTAAACGTATAATATATATTATATAATGCATATGCCTATATACTTACGTATGTACATATATATTATATATTTTTAATTCGCAAATATTTTATAGTTCACATGGCTAATTCAATAATTTTGGGATATTCTGGAATTACAATGATAATTTTTGAAATATTTCATTTTGATGACAAACACTATTCCTTTGCAAACAAAAATATAAATATAATATGTTATGAATGTATTCATAAATTCTCAAGATAAACCAACAGGCAGGCACAAGTGTCTTGAAAAAGTGAGCAGATGCAGATAATATTGAATTAGCTGGCCGAGAAAGTGCTAAACATGTACTTATGTGTGTGCTTTTAAGCACATTTGCATTTGTAACATACTTGTACATTTATAAAAATATACAGAGAGGTACTTACAAACAAATAAAGTCGCACACTTATGTAAAGATATACTTCCGATTGTTTCTTCTAATTATTTAATTCGACTTAACGAATTTACGTTGGAATCGCTATATATTTTGTTTTGAAATTTACAGTGATTTTCTTATTTGTAAAGACGCGTAGAGGCGGTTAATTTTGTGTTGTATTATTTAAATTTACTTTTAGAGGAGAGTGTAATTATTAAATTAAGACAATCACAGATTTTAAATGTTTTTTTGTTTTTATTAAGAGTTTTGTTAAATTAAGAATTTGTTGAATTAACTCAAGAATTTCTTGGATTATTATTTTGATAAAATATTCAATGTTTTTGTTTTTATTTATCCTCCGTTATTTGTGCTTAGAAAATATGTTTTTATTTTTTTTTTTNTTTTTTTTTTTTTTTTTTTTTTTTTTTTTTTTTTTTTTTTTTGAATTTGTATGTTTTATTTGGGTTGGCCTAGTTAGTTGGAGATGACGGGAGGCGAATCTGGTATCAAGTTATATAAATTAAATATGAATTTAAATTTCTTCAAATAATAGCTGCTATGTATAAATTACTCATTTCTCAGTTAAGTAATTGTTGATTAATTAATAACCTGGCGTTTTAGAAACAAGTTTGGGAGACTTGGATAGTTTGATCCAGCGGATATCACGCTTGCGTTGCCCCCCGGAGCACCTCCACTGGCCAAACCCCGTTCAAAATCAAATTATTATTTTAGAATTTCCACGGTTACTTATCTATAAACACAAATATTTAGCGCTTGTAGTATTAATGTCTTTTCAATAAATTCGTAAATACAGAGCACGCTTTTATTATTATTGATTCCTGGTCACATAGTACACATAGATTTGAATGTATGCGTATAACCGCGATTATTACTTAATATAAAAGCCCGGACAAACTTGGAGTACAAATTTTAATGGTTCTCTTGTGATGACCGATTGAATCGGCTTCTGACTATAGTTTTTTTATCGTATTCGTATTGTGTTATAATTGTTGTAACAGCTGCTGATGATGCGTTGTTGTCACCGTCGTTGTTTCTGTACGTTTTTAAAATTATGTGTGATTTTTGCTGATATGCATTGGCGAGCAACCGCCTCGCATATGGTAGGTATGTACGTGGTTAGTCACTCGATGTGGAATTTGTTCGTACGAGACTCTGTTAATCGCGTTTTTCTTTTCCGAATTCTCGTGTGGGTTTATTGAATTTTCAGCGCTTCGAACTTAACAACATTGAGAGATTTGAAAGAAATATTTGCAGACTGACAATCAATCGATTTTTAATTCACTTTCTTTTTAACCGTGAAAATGCAGAAGCTACTTTTCCAAATTCCTCTTACAGGACAATTGATTTTTAAATTTATCCAAATATTGTGACTCATTCAATGCCACAACAACAAAATTACTTTTATTTTCTGAAGACAATATTGATAAGTATATTCCAGCACTCTTCAATCTCAGATAAATCCTTCCGGCAATGCAATTTTATAAGGTGGCTTAATTTTCACAAAATTGGAGAATTTATTGAAAAAACTGATGTTCTTTTATTTTCCAAGTATAGAGGTGTTTGGGACTTCTTGCACTTCTTACTGCCGAATCAATTGTAAACTCTTGTGGCGAATGGCGACGGTCTCGAACTGTTTGTTTGGCAAGGAGCAGATGATGCATTTAGGCTCTTTGTTGTGTCGGACGATTTCATGGCGCTGCAACATTAGTTGCTACATCGCTGTTGCGCTCTTCTCTCGCGTTTGTTCTTACTCGTTGTTGTCGTTCATGACACTCCTACTGTTAGTTACAACATTATAACCAGAGAAAGCCGGTAGTTAACATACATTCACACATCAATGGAATATACTATAATAATACATATGTATTTATAAATGCAGTGCATGTCATGTGTAATTCTAAAGTGGTAGAACGGAACCAAATAACTTGGCATTATTCGGTGACGGTGCTCCGCTCTGTTGTAGTGATCGAAACAATATTTTTTTACTTTAAAAGAATAGTACATATTAATTTTGAAGAATAGTACATATTATTAATGTATCCTTACAGTGCTGACCAACCTGCATGTTTTTTATTTGGATTTATATGCATAAACATACCTGCTCTATGAATGCGATTTTCATACTCTAATAGGGTGGATTATTTCTGGTTTTACTACTGCAGCAATGTCACTGTGAGTGAATTTGTTTTTTCGAATTTATTATAGGCATGCAACAAGATAAACTACAATTTCAAATCCTTAACAGCCACTCATATGCCACAACAATTGAAGTTAAACATAAAAAAACACAGTTACATAGTTAATTTATTATAAAATTAACTTTTATGGCTTCATATATTCAAAATTTCACATATTTACTTACGTACATATTATGTATTGCTTATGTGGATATTCTAATATATGTACATACATACATATAAGTATATTTTGCACGCACCAACGTAGAACTATTGATATTTTGCAAAATTACACCCTGCATCCTTGAGTGTGCGCGTTGAGGAAGACTGCTCTTCAATATCATAGAGTATTTATGCTCTCCCAAATTCGCAAAATATGCGTTTTAATGTATATACATACATAAGTGTTTCGTATAGTTGAAGCACTGCATTCAACATTGAGAACTCTGCTCACCATACTCCCTAACTGTTTTTGCACACTTGGAGGTGCCTGCATTGGCGCAAGCATGAATCAGCCGAATTTGGCACATGTTTTTGCAGTTGTTAGGTACACCGATTTGTTTATAGTATGCATAACGCATGAATTTTCGCAAGGTACTCATAAGGGCAAGTACTTGCTATTGGTGTAACTTAAAAAAAAACATTCGAAAGTACATATGTACATACATACATATGTATCTGTGCCTAACGTTTACGTTTTCTCGAATTAGTTGATATACAAATGTAAATGCATAACTTTGAAAAGAGTTTCCATCACATATGTAGTATCTATAAATAAATATAATAGTTGCTCACGTTTTTTTTTAAATAATAGACGAAGTTGGTTTTTGGTTTTCGAGTTTTGCCTAATATAATTGTGTTTAAATTTTTACGCACATTAAAATCGAATTTATTGGCTACACATGAATGTACTCTGTATGCATATAAATATTAAACGTATCTTCCATATTATGAAAAATCAATCATAATATTGCATCAAACATACCGATATCCTCTGTCTGAAAACGAGCAAAAATTACCGCTCTTCAAATAGAGTGGTGTACATTCGGCCATAACCATAATTAGAACTATGGCAATTTGGTTTAACTGTACCGGTATGTTCTTAAGTCAATGTTAAGATATGCATTAAAAATATTAGTATGTGGATCTTCACGTTTATCAAGAATCAGAAATACAAGAGCATATGGGTGACAATATCTTATTAAATAGCAATTTCATATCTCTCTCTCCACTGTGGGAGCCTTGTGCTTTGTATAAATATAAAATTCGCGGTTTTTAGCCCAACCCTCTCAGCAATCTCTCACTTTGATTGTTATTCGGAGTCTTTTAGAAGATAAACTGTAATCAGAGAAATCATGCTATTCTACAAGTTCTCTTTGGTTAAATATTAATACACGTGCAAATGCACGTCTATATGTTTGTATATAAATACATATACACAAAAACAATGTATAAATTAAAAAATTATGAAATAAAAGAATTTTTTATAAATTCATGTTCAAAATCTGTCTTCTTTCTCAAGCATTGATTGCAATAATAATACATTTAAAGAAGCGTGTATATTATGCATTATGTATGTATGTACATATGTATATTTATTTGCACATGCATGACACATATTTGGGTAGCCGCTTTCTTTGGTACTTTCGATACTCCATACCAGAGTTCGACTTTCGGCAAAAATGAAGACGGTCTTGTTATTCTCAAAACTCTTAACCTAAGGAGTCAATTTGCAAATAATATTGGGTTTATTCCAATTATTGCTGATTTAAGAAGCATATTAATATTTACATTATAAGCCCTTTCCCATTATTTATTTCACAGCCACTATTCGGTTTGTTAAAAGCCGCCAACGGTTAGTTTACTATTCTGCTTTGTGAATAAAATTGATTGCGTTATGTACATATTTGTAATTGTTTGTCCCCAGACATATGTACATACATGTGTATATGAACGTACATACCTACATACATTCAAACCTGACGCTTTAGCCGACAAAAACGTGATAGAAATATATACATACATACGAATTTAAGGAGTGCAAAAATAGCGATGTATATGTACATACTCACATACATATATACAAATACAATTATAAAATGTTCTTTCTCAGCTTTAAACAACTACCCCGTATTTTTTGATTGATCCAAAGCCACTAGCACTACAACCTCTAGTGTTCGCGACCTTGACGTAAGTAAGTAATACAAATACAAATGTAGTTACATTTGTCAATGAGTCATCAAAATTTGGTCAGTGTCGCAGAAATCTCAATCGCCTGCATACATATGCATATGTATGCACATACATTCAAAGCGCGGTCATATGCGAAAACAATACGCGACGATATAAATTGAATCCTTGGTACTCATTTATTCAATAACACACTCAACATGTTGTTGTTGGCTTTCTTTAAATTCACCATTCGTGTTTATGAAGGTGAATAGAATAAAGAGACCAGAGACCCCTAGGTGGGCATTTTATATAGTTTTTTTTGTCTTTTCTCTCATGATGTCATGTATTGGTTGATACGGTTTTTAAACTTTTTGGAGGAGTTTAATTTGCCTCAATAATCGTTTATAAAAACAAGTCGACATTCTTTTCTTCACTTTCAGTGAATTGGAGAATCAGTGGTATATTTAAAGGCAGCTGGTTTTACTGCTGCTTATTTTGATCCACACTAAATTAAAACTTAAAAGAAGTATCATGGCGACGTTTAAAAGCTTACAACATTTATGTTATTTTAACTAAAAGGCTCACAATATGTGCATATATAACGTCATGTAAAATGCAAAATAATGTAACAACATTTTCGAAAATTTACAGTGGCGTAAATGAAACACGATATGAAATGGAACAAGAGTGAAAAAAATTTTAATATTGGTTATAACTGGTTCATATATGAGCGCAGAACCTGAAAATGTTGGACATATGTAATATTATGTATGTAATTTGATGTAGTGAATCGTAATCAATAAGATACTCAATTTCGAATTTTTTGATGATACGTTATTTTGTATTTTAGGTGACGATAAGTAATTAGGTACATATACAAACAAACAAAAGGATTATTGATGTAAAGTTCATGGTCAGTTGGTGGAACAAGTTTTAGCGCAATTACTAACGACAGTAACACTAAGTGACTCATCTCTCTGCAAACAAAATTTATAAATACATACACATTGCATACCTACATACATACATATGTAGATTCAAATGTGTAAGTATGAACATCTCTGTCATAACGTCGAAATACCATTCGAAAATACATACATAAATAAAACTACGTATTATTTTTAATTCATAAAATATATACTTTGGTTCTATTAAAATTTTATTTCCAAAACTTTCAATGCCTCGTATTCTCTCTCCTTTTTTTCATTTTTTAAAACTATTGGGAATTCCTCAAAAAAAGTAGTGATTAAATTTTAATTCCATTTCATGTTTTTAAATTTCCAAGTTTTAGGGAAATGATGCATGCTAAAAATAATATCGCTTTATTAAGAGTTCATTTTTCGCAATATAGCCTTTTAGGCGCAGGCAACAATTAAATTACAAAATTGTAATATTTTAATCCATGTTGCTAAATTTGGCATCGAATTAAATTTCAATAAATCAAACCTTTGGCCCTTTCTTTCGTAACCTACTAACCTAATTTATGCTAAAAATTTTATACCAGTGGTCCCATTCGACATATTCAGCGTTCTTTGCTTTTCGTTTCAGAATAGTAAAACTTCTTTATCGGCTTTATCTTTTAAATACTTCAAACTATTGTGATCTATTGAGGCCACAATCAGAGAACCGGAGAACGTATATAATTTACGTTCTCTAATAAAACTGACAATTTCACATGTGAGCTCTGATGAAGTGATAGTTTATGGTCTGTAGTGTAATCAAAACATAAATGTAATAAATATGGAGACATTCAACTCACATCCCGGCTTTTGTCCAGTATGTGGATCCATTCTTCCTCAGTTAAATACAGTAGGATATGTTGTATGTTACAATTGCAAAAAGGAATTTCCCCCTGACGGTAAAATATTTTGTGAATTTATAGTGCTTTCAATCTACAAAGTGTATATTTGGAACTAATTTTGATAAATGAATTTTTAGTTTTTGGATCAGAAGACGTTGAGTACACTATACACTTTAACAGTTACAATCCAGAAAAGGTATTTGACAAAACTAAAAGCTACCCAGATGATGAGGCAGAAGGGCCGGTTGTTGAACGCAAATGTCCAAAATGTGGCAATATGCAAATGTCTTATGCGACACTACAGCTGCGTTCTGCTGATGAAGGGCAAACTGTGTTCTTTACATGCCTTAGGTGCAAGTATGTGCAATATTTATATAATATATATTAAAATCGAAGAGGAAAAAAATAATTTTTTTTTGCAGGTTTAAGGAATCCGAAAACTCATAACTTCGATGGAAGTTTTATACACTATATGTGTTTTAATTTAGGTTATTTCATTGCACTATTTGCACTACATATACAATTTATTTATAGTAAATGAAAGTTCAATAAAAAACGCTATGTCGCATTTCTTGTGACTATTTATCTTTCTCTTGTTCTCCTTCCTGCGATTCGTCACTATCCTCTTCTTCTTCGGTATCCTCATCACTGTTTTCGTAATCATACTCGTCTTCGTCACTTTCATTTTCCTGAGAATAACTGGAGCTGGCACCTGCACCATAAGCACCTCCGCCGTAATATGAAAATCCTCCATATTCGTCATCGCTATCTACTGGTGCCCCCTGTTGTTGACGTCCAAACTTATGAGATCTCGTTGACATGCTCAAATCTTTTGTGACGGAAGTTTCATAATTACATTTCGGACATGGAATGGCTTTATTCTTTTCATATTTGAATCCTTTCCTTCGCACGTGATCTTCACAGTAACAAGTTTTGCAACGCAAGCAAGAATACTGACCTAACCGGTTACAGCTCTGGCATTTGAAATTCTCCGATTCCAAAACTTGGCATGACGCTTGGTGCTCAAATTGGTCATCTTCGCATAAAAATCCATCACAAAATGAACATTTGAAAATGCGACCACCATGCTCCCACACTCCTCGCTCGCATTCGAGACAAATTGCATTTTGCAGAGGACAAGTGCAGGCATGTGTTTGAAGGCACTTCCTTCCATGACACACCCAAGCTTCACAGAAATCACAAATCGCCCCGACCATACCAAGACCAGTGGTATATACTCCAGGATGTTTTACAACACAGTCGCCAGTTTTCAGCATGCATTTTATCTTTCCACATTGAGCACATATTGGTAAACGTTGGAGGCTCTGGCAAAAGTAGCAAAATGCTCTACTCTTCTGCTTTTTATCACACTTTTCACATTCCATTGGTGCATTGCAGGGCATATCAGCAAGTGGTACTTCACGATTCCTTATCTCTTTAAGACGCAATTTTTGCTTTTCAGCTTTCTTCCTTTGTCCAGTTTTCTTTTTCGGCATTTTAAATTCTTCACTTCCACAAAACCTTAAATCACTCCAAATGCCACCTGAGCAAGTTTATCTAACAATCCATTTACCAGTGTTGACAACTAAACTTTTTTAAAAATCTTCACCTTTTCTTTGGCTAAAATGACAGCTAGAATCTATTGTGAATTGTTGCATCGAAAGAGATAATCAAAATGTCACATGTTGACATCTACGACACCGACGAGAACAGATTTATGTTATAAACAGAGAACGTCAAAAATATTGTTCGTTATTGGTGTTGTTCATTCTTAAAGATTTCGACGCTATAAACTTTTGATCTATAATTTAATATATATATATATATATATATATATAAATATTTATTGTCCCACTTTGTTTTGGGGAAAGGACTTAATAATACCAATATGTCGTCATCTGTTCATTGTCAATTGTGGATGGGTAGTGTAAGTAAAGCATTATTAACTTAGAGCATTTCTCTATATAAGCGAATTTTAAATAATTTTAGTTGGAGCCGTACATGACGGAAAATTTCATAATAGCCGCTTTTCGTAAAATGGGTGAGGAGCCAACAACAGTCCGACTAATGAGGAACAAATATACTGGTGAACCGGCTGGTTACTGCTTTGTTAATTTTGCGACTGACGAAAGTGCAATGGATGCTATGCATAAACTAAATGGTAAGCCCATTCCTGGAACTAATCCGATTGTTCGTTTTCGACTAAATAGCGCAAGTAATTCATATAAACTTCCTGGAAACGAGCGAGAATTCAGTGTATGGGTTGGAGATTTAAGCTCAGATGTCGATGATTATCAACTTTATAAGGTGTTTTCAACAAAATATACTTCTATAAAAACGGCCAAAGTAATTTTGGATAGTTCTGGGTTTTCGAAAGGCTACGGGTTCGTTCGATTCGGCATCGAGGACGAACAAAAGTCGGCATTGTATGATATGAATGGATACATTGGTTTGGGAACTAAACCAATAAAAATTTGTAATGCTGTGCCAAAACCAAAGAATGAATTAGGCGTTGCACTTGGTACAACTAGTAATTATGGTTATGGTGGTGTTGGTATTACTGGGACATCGACGACAACAGCGACAACTGCGGACTATTCTCAATACTATGATCCTACCAGCACTTATTGGCAGAACTATAATTCTTGGCAAGGATATTATGATCAGAGTGGAGCAGGGGCTATATCAGATCCCAACAGTGCATACTATCAACAATCAATAGCACAGTCTCATGCCAATCCACAAACATTGGCTCAACATGCAGAGGCGTGGAGTGCTCAGCGTGCGGCACAGTATGAACAACAGGCAGCAGCTACAGCTGCTGCTAATAATACAACTAATGTTGGTGAAGACGATGACTACGCTTTAGTGGAACACAAGTATACATTGGATATAGACAAGTTAAATCGGGAGACATTAGATGCAGATCGTCTATTATATGACGCTCTAGAGAGTTCAAAATGGCTCCCACTTGAACAGCTGGAAACATATTGATTTTTAAAGACAATTTTACATTTCTTAAATAAATTCGCGTACTTCTGATTCGATTAAGAAAAAAAAAAAAAAATTTAGGTAGAGGGTTTACTCAAACAAGTTATCAATGTAAGAACTGTTTTTATTTTAATTTAGAAATTTTCATTAATGTAAGTTTCAGATCAATTTGCATATATTTGCATACATAATTTTTATATACATTCTTGTGCGCCGAATTCCTATCCGTATAGTTTAGCTTCATTTTTACTTATAAAGCTTATACAAAAAAATAAAAAAATTAATTATAGTACTCATTATTAAATATCTAAATTTGATAAAAAGATATACGATAAATATTCGGATTTTTAAGCCAATTGAATGTTTGTAATTAGTCTTTTGTTTTGCTTTTTTTTTTCTTTACAATAAACGAATATGTCTACAAATAAATTTCTGAACTAACTTTGGTTTGGACCGATTACATAAAAAAAAGCATTTTTCTTAAATATGATCCATAAATATTTTGTTTTATAAATTTATATATATTACGAATTACAACCAAAGGAATTTCATTTGGCTTTCTTTGATTCTTTCTTGTTATTTGCTCCACTGCTACTAGCAGATATATCTTTACTCTCTTTTTTCTCAGATTTTTCCTCGGGATGATCTTCATAACTGAAACAACCAATTATTTATTATTTAAGGCTTTCTATCAAATATTTATAAAACTTACGCAAAAAGACTTTTCAGTTCGCCTCGCACCAATGCCACCAACAATGGAGTACCCATGCATGCAGGAACAAGATAGAGTAGTGCTGGCTGCGCATGTTTGAATACATGCATCACAAAAATAGTCGCCATAAGTCCAAGGAAATACGCCACCAAAGTTGAATAGAAGTAAATGCGACTTTTTCGCTTGGAACTATGATCGAAGCGTAATAGTAGCGCTATGAAAATACCTGGAATTACTATATCACCCAATCCTAACATCGCAAAATTGGTTCCACTTAGACCGTTTATAGGTAAATCTTGTGGGAAAACCAATTTAATTGGCGCTTCGAAACTTTTGGCTACTGTAACCATCACGTTTGTTCCAAATACCCAGAAAATGTCGTAAAAAAACAAACCACTTAAAAGTATACATCCTGTGACAATGTTATTAAGGTGAAGTAGTTCCACTCCGTTCACAGCAAAAGCTAGTCCGAACATGTTATTGGCAATCCAATGTTTTTTATATAAATACCATACACCGATCCCTGACGAAATGCCCAAACATATGATATCATGCGTTGAAAATTTGTAATTTATAATATCCTCTTTGTGTTTTCCTTCACCTTTGGTAAAATGCATATGAAAAGGTATTTTCGGTACAGCCGTAGGCATCAGTGAATTGACAATTGGACTAAGAAGGTGTGCTAATGCGATAACACCCAAACAAAAGAAATATCCAGTAAGGAGGAGGTTTATATGCTCTTTAGAGAAAATTTTGAAGAACATGTAAAGTCCAAAGAGAGCGGCTGAGGCTATAATAGGGAAGAACATCGCATCTTTTTTGGTCATTGTTTCGGCTTTTTTCCCACTCACCTGAAATTAGGTATGTTAATAAAAAAAAAAATTATTGTATTTGTTGTTGTACCACGCATATACAGATATAATCTTTTTTATACAATTTCCAATTACCTTTTTGTGTTTGTGTAATTTAACAGAACGAATTGAACCAAATACAATTGGTAGCATGGCCATTACCACTAAACTTCCATATGCAACTACAATGCCCTCTGGTGTGGCTGGGATTTTTTCATTTGTTATAGTTTCACTGGTTGCATTTTCCACCGCACCTTTAACGGCATCAGCAACGGTTTCCACCACCGGATCGGACATTTAACAAAACTATGTAATTTTAAACAGTTATTGTGTTAAATTTATCTATGATTATTTTAATAAATAAATTTTGTCAATTTGACCACGCATGCACCACAAATAGAAAAGAAAGTGTTGTACTAGATATTGCACCGTTTCTTCTTCTTACCAGCAGAGGTAATGATGTGTCGAAACAGGTTGGCAGTTTATGAAAACGTGTCAATAAGTTTTGTGATACCATATCTAATCCAAAACACCTACCAACAAAAAAAATAAAGGAATTAATTGAATTGATTTATGTAATGAAATTTTAAACCTTTTTTATATTTATTATAATATATATAATATTAGATATATTATTATTATAATGAAATAATGTTAATTCATTTTAAGATTTTGCCAGTGAACACTCTGCGTAAGTAAAATTAAATATTTCAAAAGCGGCTAGCATACGTCATTATCGACAATGGTGCAACGCCAACCAACTTTGCTATAATTCGTCCGAGTGACTGAATTGACTTGTCATTCCCGGCTATAACTACATTCTGTTTGGAATTTTGTAGATTATAATAAATAAAATAAATTCAACTATACACGATGGAGACAATTTTGGGAATACGTGGAGAAGACTTTGCTATTGTTGCAGCTGAAACAACTCAAGCTCGGTCCATTGTGGTTATGAAGGAAGGTAAATAAATAAGTATTCGTAATGGAATTTTGACAAATCAAAAATATCTAATTTACTAGATGAAAATAAAATTCACAAGATTAACAATAGCCTTGTATTTGCCACAATGGGTGAATCTGGCGATACTGTTCAATTTACGGAATTTATTTCCAAAAATATTGCCCTGTACAAAATGCGAAACAACTACGAGCTATCACCCAAGGAGGCAGCACACTTCACTCGAAAAAATCTTGCGGATTACTTGCGTAGCAGAACACCATACCAAGTTAATATGATGATAGCCGGGTAAAAATTATATTCATACATGTATGATCGGAAAATAATATAAAATTTTTAGCTATGATGAGCAATCACAAAAATCAGCATTATATTTCATCGACTATTTAGCTAATTCCGTTGAAGTAAAATACAGTGGCCAAGGCTACGGAGCAATGTTTTGTCAAAGTATTTTTGACAGAGAATATAAAAATGGCTTAAACCAAAATGAGGCCTATACGATTCTTGAACACTGTGTTAAGGAAATACAAAAGCGTCTTGTAATAAATCAGAAGAATTTCAAAGTTGCTATCGTAAATAAGGATGGTTTTAAATGGATGCCCGACATTAACGCCAAAAATATCTGTAATTAACTTAAAAAACACTCATTTGAATAAAACATTTAAGCATTGTGGTTTTGAAAAAATTATTTCCAATTCCTTTTGATATTTTAAAGGTGGTATATTTAAAAAAAGTGGACGTTTCTCAATACATATAAAAAAATATACGAACCAATTTTAATACATACATGGGTGCTGTATTTATTTATTTGAAAGTAAAAATATGAACATAGTGTCATTTATAGAAAAATGTTTCGTTTTTATAATGTGCAAACTGAAGGTGGCCAATCCAAATCTATTTCCACGACATCAAGGGCTATGATATCAATATGTTGTCCAATCAATGACGCCAATGATGGCATAGTTCGTCCGAATTCTCCATGCACCAACTCCTTAATGTATGTACCCGCTTGTGTTACGATGTCTAATATAATTAAATTTTTATTTTCTCTACAAACTGATGGCTTTAGGCTATACACTGTTCGAGGTCTTGTGTGGAGAGGTCGGCGATGCAATACGCGTATAGGGGTCTTCTGTTGGATTTCAAATCCATTCTGAAAATCCAGCCGTTTTAAAATATCTACCGTCACTATGTTACCAATTTGACAAAGTGCACGATAGCATTTTCTTTTTTGCTCTTCTCCCATTTTTATATGTATTAATTCTTCTCGTTTAACTATCTGAATATCACGAACTGATACCTTTTGAGAGACATCTATATTTTCCTCTATTTGACGGGCTAAATCAGAAGACAGGGACGATCGAAAAGCATTGGGTATTTCCAATACGAATGGTCGCCCTGCACCAAGGCACCTAACATCCACATCCTCTCTACCACTTGACATAAAGTTAACTTTCTTTTGATCATCACTATAATGAAAAAAGGTTAGTATTAAATTATGATAATATTATCTTTGTTTATTAAAGTTGTTCCTTACCAAAAATAGTGAGCAATATTACGAATAATAGTCTCCTCTATGCTGTCGTCCATTATTCTTTCGCCATTCAAAACCCATGGCGTATGTGATAGTTTTCGGGAAAGCTTTCTATATCGCCCAGCTACATAGGTTGAAGGTCCAATTAGAGAAACTGAATCGAATTTAAGGCTTTCGGTTGGAATTGATGGAGGCACAACGAACGCATTTTTGAATAATTCGGAACTGACCTTTAGAGGTGTATACTTTTTCTCAATTAATGACCTTGAAATTTGTTCCGATTTCTGACCCTTTTTTCGTGGATAAACTAAGCTATTCAATTTCTCTAATTGACTGATTCCTTCTTGTTCTTCCGAATGAGTTAGATTTATAGTTAACATTAAGCCGTTGCTGATATCATATGATTTATTTAGCCTTTCGCAAATAGTCGGATTTAAAATCAACTTTATTGCCTCTTTCAAAGATACGTCGGGTGCCCGGTCTAAGTTAATATTATCTCCAAACTTATCTAGTAAGGCGTACCACATGGACAATTGCCGCAGTTGTAGAACTATAGGAATACTCATAGCAACAACAATTCCATCGCACTCATATTTATCGATGTCAGTGCTCTCTATGGATTGAAGCAGTTTTTCTTTAAATTCTTCTGAAAATAAGCCTAAACATGTTGGACAGACATTATGGCGTTTCTTTTTATTGGCAGGATCCCCGGTCCAGTCTATTTCCTCTTCATAATCCACATTAACCTGAAATATTTAAACTAAGATAATTCTTCAATTATATTCGATTTTTAGTTTGGTACCCGATCAAAATACTCTTGTTTATTTTGATATTCATTGCCGCGAGCTTTGAGATAACGTAATTGACAAAACTGGCATACATTACAATATTTAAGGTAATCAACCAGATCCTGATTTTTCATATTAATAATATTACGATATTGCTTTTAAATGCAATGTATTCAACTAGTATGAACATAGCCACTTTGTACACACTTCTTTATCTGCCTGAAGAATTTTTAAGCATGGCGTTTCACTTCGTTGCCCACCACTATATTATCATAAAACAGCTGTGTGCTTTGACGTTTCCAAAGCATAATAATTTAGTTTATACATTTTGGTGCACTACTATTTCGGAATAAATTAAAAAAACTGCTTATAAATAGGTAAATATGCCATTTTTTAAGTATCAAGGTTTTTTAATTGGGGATATGGTACATTACTAATTAGTACAAATCGGCAAGAAAATGTAATTTGTTTAAAAGAAATGTTACGTCACTGCTTTAGAACCATAAGTCTGTAACACAGATTATAATTTGCTTTGGCACAAAAATCGTCTCCCAAATACTTGTGAAAGTCTATTTTGTTCTTCTTCAACAGTTGCAATGTCTTTGGGACCATTTTTGCGTACTCCATTTACGGATTTAACTGGATGTTTGATCAATCACCAAACTTATGAGAAGTGTGGAAAGATGGAAATGGAAATGATGGAATGCCTTGAAGCTTATGGAGTTGAAAGGGGTCAAAAGATGTGTGCTGATATTATAGCAGATTTCGGAGAATGTGTTGGTGTGCAGAAGCAGCTAAAGAGGTTTCATGTAAGTTTTAATGTGTGTACGTTTTGGACAAAACAGTCAAACCCTTACGTATCATAACTTACAGGCAATGCGGAATGAACGGCTAAAACAATACTATTTTGGTGACCGTAAAAAGGAAGAACTATTTGCGGACCCTCCTAGAGTTGATGCTTTCTAATAAACAAAATTTATTTAAATTTCTTGAAAAGTTTATATTCAGTTTTCGATAAAGAATTTTGTTTTGCACATAAAAAACAAACCAGTATTGGTTAAGGTCCGCAATGTATTTAGTTAAAGAAATTCATCCGATTATTTTTATGACTGCAATTGCATAAATAGAAGTAATTTAAAATATTTGTAAACATTATTTCAAGAGCAAAAGTAGAACTTTATTTTATTAGGCAGTCTTATGCTTCTGTAGTTGTTGGAATAAACATATACTGCGCACATATTCGCACAAATAGTTGTTTTCAACATGTGTGGGAGGTGTTGTGTGAAGGTACCAGAAGTACCATTTTCCAAATTATTTTAGTTGACAGCCCAATGCCGATTAAAAATCCATTTCCGCTTACATAGACCGACTGATGTGGAAACAGTTGTATTAGGCGTTCGTACCTAACAATTACAAAATCAATGCTATGTTCAAATGCATCGTTTGTGGTCAGCATAAAGGAATACAATTCTGGCAATCAAATGAATATTCTTCTTTATCGACAAAACCTTATTTCAATATTTTGTCAAAGTGTCAAATGTGACAGCTTGAAATTTTTTAACAAATCATATATATATATAGACGTTTATAGACGTTTTCTTATCAGAAATAACATTCTCCTACGAGGGAAAATTATTAGTAAATTCGTGACGGAAGGAAGTTGAAAGTGTATGCACAAAAAGGATATCAGTACAACGTTTTGAAAAATTTAACATTTTAAAATACTTCTCATAACTCAGTAAAACCGGGAAGCTTAAATGTAAAGAGAAGTACTAATAGATGTTTAATTGTTTATCCTGACGGACTTTTAAACGCTGGCTGTATGTACTATATTACTATATATGTATATAGTATATTGTTTACAATTATTTGTGTAAGTTGCAACTTCATTAAAGTAAAATGAAAAATAAGTAGACAGGGGAATCTCCCTCCGACCTTCATGCAACCTTCAGCTGCGCCTCACATGTGCCTCACTTTTGATTGGTTTAACGCTCTTATAAGCACTGCAAGCAAAACCAATGCAATGCTTACTTCGTTGTATCAACGTTTTATTGTCGCTGCTAAGTAACACAAAATAAACAAAATTTGGGTTATAAATTTAAAAAGTCGTCTTAGTCTTATTTAGTGCTAAGAGTGCCGTGAGTGAATAGTTATAATCATACCGGTTGATAATCATAATATTCTCATTATATACATACATATGTATAAGTGGCTTGTGTATAAGCAGAAGTAACGATAAACAT